GAAAGAAAGAAAACGAGTGAGGTAGTATGATTCAGAAAACGTCGATGTTTGTGTTGGCGCGAAATCACAAGTTAGATAACTCCAGATTAGGTTTCTCTCTGTAACTAAGTTCCATTCAACATAATTGTAGTATAAACCAGAGGTGGGCTCTGCGGGGGTTGAACAAAATCAGATGTGCCTGAGCAGGTGTCTTATACAGTGATTAGTCACTATGTCAGATTTCGAAGAGAAAAAAAGTTTACGGGTCCTCTTGATTTTCGATAGGTAGAAATTTTGCCAAAACGGTAACTTTGCTAGAGCAAAATTTTAAATACCAGGCTATGGAACATCCACGCACTCACATGCACACACACGCTCGCGCGCACACTCACACACACACACGCACGTACAAACACACATACATTTGCGCACACACGCATACACACGAAAGGAGCAAACACACACACACACACACACACACACACACACACACACACACACTCTCTACTTTAAAATTGGTGTTCAGGGTTCAAGTTTCTATTTTTTCAAGCCCCAATAAAAATATTGGACCTAAGTTCAAAAATATTTTCCCTTGGGTTAAATTTTACATATCCTTTATCCATCCTTTCATTTTGAGTGATCCGAAAACATAAGCACACAAACGAATCATACTTAAACGGAGAGGCAATGAGCTAGTTCCGAATTTACCATCTCTTCTTTTAGCAAGTCAGAGATCACGTCCGACTCGAATAAAACTTATTTTTTTTATTATACTAATGTTCACCTTGTATAAGACCCAAGAGTCTCTCAAGATAGAGCATTACTGTGTGGTGTTGTATGAGCATAAGAAAAAGCAGGAAGTGCAGTTCATGGTGTTATGCAGTAATGAAAATAGTTAACACTAGACTTCAATAAATCCTGATTGTAGTGATTTTGGAAAACATCCCACCGGGAGTTCGTTCTACAAAGCAGCAGTTCTTGGGAAGAAACCCTCAGAGTGGAACTTACTTCTTATTAATAAAATACGAAACGAATGAGGACGAAGATGTTTCCTTGAATAAGTGGCGTGGTGTGGCGTGGCGTGGCGTGGCTTTGCGTGGTGTGGCCTGGTGTGGCGTAGCGCGGCTGGTCCCAGTTGCAAAGGTCACGGCTGGCGGAACCAAGGAATGTAACTCCTCAAAACACATGCCATATAAATAACGATAGCGAGAAGCACGCGATGATTCGTCTGATATTTATCACCACCGAAGGCAAACTGTGATACAAAGTCATTTTTTTTTTGTATAGATAAATCGGTATACCTACTCACTTACAAAAGTTTCCCCGGGGATACTGACGCAAACAGTAGGATATCCTCTTGATCTTACCACTCTTAAAGCATTGGAGATGTTATATTGGGAGTAAAAATCGGCCTTCCGGCCCGGAGTCGATATGAATAATTTCCAGTACTGAGCAACCTAGGGCAATCAAAAACTGAATCTTGGAGTTTTGAGATGTTAGTCAGGGAAGATTGGCACAAACATTTCAAGTAATAACGGAATAAAAACAAACTAATGTAGAAGAATGCAGAAAGACGTGCATCTATGTTTTATAGACTACGCAAAGGTATTCGACAAAGTATGCCACAAGGTTCTGTTGGAACTGCTCAGCAACCTTGATATATTTGGGAAAGATATCAGAATAATCAAGAGTCTATACTGGCAGCAAACGGCCGGCATGCGGATAGAGAACGTGGTTCAGCAGATATACTAAAATAGAAAGGGGCGTAAGGCAAGGATGTGTCATCTCACCGGACTTATTTAAACCTATACAACGAGGTAACTCAGAGAGAATTGGAAATCCTACCAGGAGTCATCGTTGGCGGCCACAATCTTAACATAAGATACGCAGATGACACAGTGCTGATAGCAGACACGGAAAAGAAATTACAAAACCTCCTAGGGAAGGCAGCGAAGGACGACGAGAAGAAGGGTCTAAGCATAAACTACAAGAAGACAGAATGCATGAGCCCAAAATGTGTCGGGGACACTAAAATCAATCAGGTGAGGAAGTTTACATTTCTGGGAAGTGTTCTGACGGAGGACGGTAAGTGCGACGCTGAAGACGTATTGCGATGACCAAGGACGCATTCCAAAAGCTGAACAGAGTGTTGCGAAACATGAGGATTTCTTTGGTAACGAAGGAAAGAATACTGAGCTGCTACAAGACATCTTTTCTCCTTTACGGCAGCGAATGTTGGACGGTCTCCTCAAAGATGAAGAAGAGACTCGAGGCAACAGAGGATTGGTTCTACAGAAGGATGATGAGAATATCAAGTGCCGAGCATTTGAGGCTTTGGAGAGGATGTAAACAAGAAGGAAGCTTATATTTAACATGAGGAAGAGGCAAATGAAATTTCTGGGAGACGTAATGAGAAAGGAGAGACTGGAGAATCTGATGCTGACAGGTCGAACAAAGGGAGAGAGAGACAAGGGAAAGCAACACATGACATCCGTGACGGGCTTAAGCAAGTGGATGACAGAACGTAGTCTGGTGGAGGGGGCAGAGGGACGAAACCTATTGAGAGCTACAAGGAATAGGAGGAAGTGGAGAGCCATGATCGCCTATGTTCTAAAGGGACACGGCTCATAAAAAGAAAGAAAGAAGTAGATATTACTTGGTGCTGCTTTCCCATGTCCAGTAACTGTTATCGAACCTTTCCAGCAAAGATGGGGTTCTTTCTTGCTAACCTTTTGTTTGAAGTTGTGTGGAACGTCGACGGTTTGATTATGTCATTATTTTCTCTTCGAGTAATATCGGCTATCCATTTTTAATTGCTGCTGCCGTGGAAAGATCTCAAGTCATGTGGTTATTTTTATCTGCTACAGTTCTGGGATTCGGTAGAACCATTCTACGACGTTCGAAGAAGGAAGGTCCTCGCCAAGTTTCAAACGCTTTACTCGCTCAAAGTCATTTGTAACCATTCCTCTGAGAAAGCGGCTGTACCTAGCTAGCAGTTTAGATATTTCAGAACGCGTTTGGGGCCCTACATGACATCCACTTTAAAGAATCGATCTGACGAGGTTATTTAAAAACATGACGCAAGTTTTTAAGTTAATATTTTGCCTTCAAAAGTAATTTGCGATGTTAGGCGAAACTAGAGCAGCATATTCTATGTCTAATTTCCTTATTTTTTTTTAATACCAAATATGTTACAACTGAGCCATATACTAAGGTATTTGAAGTGGTTAATATTTAGTAATACTACATCTTAAATCCAGGATACGTTCGATTACTGCATTTATTCTAACTTCAGATCAGAGTTTCTCTTTTAGAATGGTTTATTTTTGAGTCTTACTTTTTGAAACATTTTGTAAATAATATTCTGAAACAAAATTTGCCCCCAGAATTTAATAAATTCGATAATTACTTGAATTTGGCAACGGTGTAAGAGACTTTTCAGACATAATTGGGGCGCCTAATGTTCTTGATTTATTTATTTATTGTAAAGAATTTTGCTTATTGAATTCGAAATTAAGTAAAAGAAAGAAACATTGATGGAAAAACAAAAGGAGTAAAATAGAAAAGTTTAAGGAGGAAAAAATGAAGAGTTAAATAAATATGAAGGAAGAGGAGAACTAAGAAGTAAAAGTAAATGAAAAAGAATGAAGGAAGGACAAGAGAAAAAGAATGAAGAAGGGAAAGGAGAAAGAGAATGAAAGAAGGAAAGGAGAAAAAGAATGAATGAAAGGAGAAAATGAAGAAAAGAAGGAAAAGGAGAAAAAGAATGGAGGAAGGAGAAAAGAATGAAGAAGGGAAAGGAGAAGAAGAATGAAAGAAGGAAAGAAAAAAGAAGGAAATGAATGAAGGAAGGTAAGGAGAAAAGAATGAAGAAGGAAAAGGAGAAACAGAATAAAAGAAGGAAAAGAGAAAAAGAAGGAGAGAAGGAAAAGAGAAAAAGAAGGAAAGAAGGAAAGAAGAAAAAGAATGAAGGATGGAAAGAAGAAAAAGAATGAAAGAAGGAAAAGGCGAAAAAAGGATGAAAGAAGGAAAAGGCGAAAAAAGGATAAAAGACGGAAAGGAGAAAAAGAATGAAAGAAGAAAAAGGAGAAAAAGAATGAAAGAAGGAAAAGAGAAAAAGAATGACAGAAGGAAAGGAGAAAAATAATGAAGAAGAGAGAGAAGAAAAAGAAGGAAAGAAGGAAACTAGAAAAAGAATAAAAGAAGAAAAGGAGAAAAAGAATGAAGAAGAGAATGCAGAAAAAGAATGAAAGAAAGAAAAAGAAGAAAAAGAATGAAACAAGGAAAGGAGAAAAGAATAAAAGAAGGAAAGGGGAAAAAGAACGAAGGAAGGAAAGGAGAAAAAGAAGGGAAGAAGGAAAAGGAGAAAGAGAATGAAAGAAGGAAAGGAGAAAAAGCGAAGAAGAAAAAAAGGAGAAAAAGAGAAAAAGAAAGAAAGGAGAAAAAGAATGAAAGAAGGAAAAAAGAAATAGAATGAAGAAGTAAAAAGAGAAAGAGAATGAAAGAAGGAAAGGAGAAAAAGAATAAAGGACGGAAAGGAGAAAATGAAGAAAAGAAGGAAAATGGAGAAAAAGAATGAAAGAAGGAAAGAAAAAAGAAGGAAAAGAATGAAGGAAGGAAAGGAGAAAAGAATGAAGAAGGAAAAGGAGAAACAGAATAAAAGAAGGAAAAGAGAAAAAGAATGAAGGATGGAAAGAAGAAAAAGAATGAATGAAGGAAAAGAGGAAAAAAAGAATGAAAGAAGAAATGGAGAAAAAGAATGAAAGAAGGAAAAGGAGAAAAAGAATGAAGAAGGGAAAGAAGAAAAAGAATGAAAGAAGGAAAAAGAGAAAAAGAATGAAGAAGGGAAAGGAGAAAAAGAATGAAGATAGGACAGGATAAAAAGAATGAAAGAAGAGAAAGGAGAAACAGAATGAAGAAGGGAAAGCAGAAAATGAATGAAAGAAGGAATGGAGAAAAAGAATGAAGGAAAGAAAGGAGAAAAAGCATGAAAGAAGGAAAGAAGGAAAGAACGAAGGAAGTTAAAGGAGAAAATGAATGAGGGAAGGAAAGGAGAAAAGAATGAAGAAAAAGAGGAGAAAAAGAATGAAGGAAAGAAAGAAGAAAAAGAATGAAAGAATGAAAGGAGAAAATGAATAAAAGAAGGGAAAGAGAAAAAGAATGAAGAAGGGAAAGCAGAAAAAGAATGAAAGAAAGAAAGAAGAAAAAGTATGAAGAAGGGAAATGAGAAAACGAATGGAAGAAGGAAAGAAGAAAAAGAATGAAAGAAGGAAAGGAGAAAAAGAATGAAGATAGGAAAGGAGATTAATTAAACGATTCAAGAAAAGAAGGAAATTTAGGAAAGAATTAAAAAAAGAGACAAATGAATGAAAGAAAGAAAAATCAAAGACTACAGAAAGATGGTAAGAAAGAGAAAGAATGAATAACAAAGAAAGAAAAACTAATAGATTGAAGAATATGGTAAAGAAAAAGAAAAGTAAAAATAGAAATAAATAAAGTAATAAAGAAAGAAAGAAAGAGAGAAAAAAGAAAGAAAATTAAATTGATAATAACATATACGAGAAAAAAAGAAGAAATAATGAAAGAAAAATAACAGGATAATATAAAAGTGTACTGAGAAAGAAAGAAAGGTCAATACAGAGATATAGTAAAAAAGAAGAAAGAAAGAAAGAAAGAAAGAAAGAAAGAAAGAATCAATTGATAATATAAAGATCTACTGAAAAGAAAAGAAAAAAGAAAGAAAAACAAATTGATAATAAGATATAGGGGAAAAGAAAGCAAAGTGAATGGATAATACACAGCTATATTGAAAAAGAAAGAAAGAAAGGAAGAAGGAAAGAATCAGTTGATAATATAAAGATATACAGAAAGGAAAGAAAAAATAAATAAAGAAAAATAAATTGATAATAAGATATGGGGGAAAAGAAAGCAAGAAAGAAAGAATGAAAAATAATATAAAGAAAGAAAGAAAGAAAGAAAGAAAGAAAGAAAGAAAGAAAGAAAGAATCCTCAAGCACAGTGGATAAAGGCGTTGGTTAGATCCAGTGACAGGACCCAAAGAGTGTGAGTTCAATACCCGGTTAAGGAAGTGGAGAACCTTCAGAGAGAAATTAACAGGAGATAACTGATAACTGACATCCATTAGGCATGGCACGTGGAACTAGAACAGTCTACCCCAGTGAGCAAAATAAAGGGTTCAGTTCGACATTCCAACCACCTGAAGAAGGCCAGAGCATACAACGGCCGAAACGTTGTGATAATTATGGCGACAAAGATGAGGACAATAGTCCGAATAATGTAAATAATGTACATAATACCTCATCTCAGAAATATAGACAGACTCTCAGAGGAAAAGAAAGCAAGCAAGAAAGAAAGAATGAAAGATAATAGAAAGATATATTGAAAAAAGAAAGAAAGAATCACTTGATAATATGAAGGTATATTAAAAGAAAAAAGAAAGAAAGAAAAATAAATTGATAATAAGATATAGGGGAAAAGAAAGCAAGCAAGAAAGAATGAAAGATAATAGAAAGATATATTGAAAAAGAAAGAAACACTTAGTAGTAAGAAAGGATAAAGTAAACAGTGACGGGTTTGCAAAAACAATGACGTCATTGGCGCAGTTTGTTACGGCGATTAGATACACCAGCCTCTGGTTACGTTATATCTGGTCTTGAATAATATCAAGGCACGCCCATACACGTGGAATCTTGTGTAGGTGAGATGCATGTTATATATATATATATATATATATATATATATATATATATATATATGCGGTTTTACTTCTTTTAGGGATGATATTAATTACATCAGACCAGGATACAAGTCTTCCGCTTTGTTTATCAAAAGAAATAAGGCTTACGTGAGAGTTAACAAAGAATTTGCTGTTCGCGATAAACTTTTTTTCTGTTTTCGCAGTAACTAACATTCTTAATATCGAGGAATTTCCTTTCGCCTGTTAGTGCAAGAGTCAAAAGGTGTTTGAAGATACAGCTTCCATTTAGAAATAAAAATGATAGTTTTTAAATTAATGATAGTGGTGTGATTTTTTAGTAGGGTTAAAGCCAAAGAGCCACTCGAGGTAGACGGTTGCTACAGGAGGTTGTTTTGTGAGCACTAAGATTAAGAGGTAGTGGCGCAGTTTAGGAGGATATGTGGGAAAGACAACGGTTAATACTAGACTTTAAAAGGTTACGATTTTAGTGGTCGGGAAAGCACCCTCTTGGGAGTCGGTTTTACAAAATAGCGGTTTGGGGGAGAGAAGCTGCTCGAGTAGAACTTCCTTTTTACTAATAGAATACGAAATGAATTAGAATTATTCACCTCGGTGTACGTGACGTGGAGGGTTTTAGCTGTGAGGGTTAGAGTAGTCAGAACTCAGGAACTCGCCTGAACACATGATAGAATAGAGAGGGGCTTGCAACAGTTCATCTATGGGAAAGGGACTGCGTGGTTGAAAATAATTCATCACCCAAAAGGTCGGGTAGACGCTTTTGATCTGGAAAGGGAAAAGCTATGCTTGTCTAAAACAGATATGGCAGTGTTACTCAAACTTCGGCTTGATCTGGCTTTTGTAAAAAAACAAAACAAAAAAAAAAAAAAAAAAAAAAAAACAAACAATAGAGCATAGCAAGAGGACTCAGATATTTTTGCCATGATGTTCACTCTTTACAAGGCCCAAGAGCCACTCGAGGCAGAGGGTTACAAAGTAAGAGACACCACTCTAAGCGGTGATAATGCCACGAAGACAAACAAAGGGCCACCGAAAGAAAAAGAGAAGGAAAAGGCTTTAGAAAGAACCAGAAACCCAATCACAGACAGGAAACAAGGAATAAACCTCTACTCCTGTTCAAAAGACTAGGGAAAAGTGTGAGTGGGATAATAGGCCAACATATCAATTTCTATTGAGGAAAAAAATAAATAAATAAAATTTTAGAGTTCAAGCAAAGAAGTATAGAGTTGAAGTAGACATTAGAAGAAACTGGAATTCCAATCCTAAACAGGAATCAAGGGATAAACCTCTACTCCTGTTCAAAAGACCATTTTGTACAGGTAACAGACCATTTTTCCAGCATCTTTAGCAACGGATCGTATACACATGTTCCATTTCTTTTTTAAAAAAATATTTAATCCCAAGCAAGGCAATAAAGCCACTAAGGCGTAAGGGATTACTGAATGTTAGAGAATAAGAGAAATACTACAATTATAGAGGGAGGAGAATAACAAATCAAGAATTAAGAAAACAGATTGACATTGCATTTACATTTGCCACCGATCTAGTACTGCGTTTAAATTCCAGATATCTATGAACCATAACGGAAAGTTCAGAAGAAAAATTACCATGAAAGTAATTATGGAAAAGCCTCAGAGAAGTGCTGGTGAGAAAGGGAGTGAGGTCTGGATTAAGATTATGTCTTAACAGTCGTTCTAAACAAGTAGGCTTGTTGAGAACATCCGTTCATTGTGATAGATGAAGATTCAGGGTCTGTTCGGTGATGACAGAACATTACTAGTATGATTTTTGAGGTATTAAATGGGACCGGCTAGTTCTCCCCTCCCCATTGAGTGGTTATAGCTATATCAAAGGAGAGATCTGCTGCCAGTGAAGATTTCTATAATTTTCGAAGTGCTCGGATACACCGTTGTATCATCTGCATAGATATTCAGAAAACATCATGGTATACTCTTCGGCAGATCGTTAATATAAAACAGAAAGTATCTACACATACATGTAGATAGATAGATAGATAGATAGATAGATAGATAGATAGATAGATAGATAGATATCGTGGACTAAGGATTCAACACTTGAACGCTAACAATCAATTTCCTTGTCTTAAGAGGTCATTAGACCATACCTCTGCAACTGAAAATCGACATGTAGCGCTAATTGTGTCCGCAATGGGCATATCTACAAACACTTTATTTCTGATACTGGGTAGTTTGTTCCTACATAAAATTTAAAATATATATATATATATATATATATATATATATATATATATATATATATATATATATATATATAACACCCTATCTCAAATCCTTAGAAACAAAAATTACTGTCAATTTTCACACTGTGAAGCAAATTCAAGCGGTTCTGTTTTATTTTACTTCAGTCTTCTTACAGAAAATTCCTAAAAAATGAATCAGCTTGTATTTTATTAAGTTGCAGTAGTTGCCTTAATATATATATATATATATATATATATATATATATATATATATATAACCTCCCATTTAATATTTGTCCTAATCTAAATTTAAAAACATTAGATTTATTCAATATAAACCGTTAAAAACATGTCAGGTTAACTCCACTCTTACGACACCTAACCTTTTTTCAAAGTGATACCTTCTTTGAGAAGACATAAAAAGCGAAGAGCTAATCCAGAATTCTGCTTCTGAAATGTGAAACTTCTGTAAGTATTCAAAGAAATTTAATGAATGTTTGTAAAAAGGCTGTATTGGTGTAAGCACGGTAAAGAGACCAGTTAGTATTTGAGAAATACCAGACAGTAGTGAGGAACTGACATAATGAAAAGTGGCAGTGGCAGGTTTCTGCTACTATAAAAGTGATGAAATAAAGCAGAGTACTGCTTTCATTAAATTTGGTAAAAAAAAAATGTTATTGCGAATCATACAAAGATTGCATAGTCTTCAGATTTTTTTGTTTAGGGCAAGATTCGACACTTCAAAATAAACTAGGTTAAATTTTCATAAAAATAAAAGACGGAATAAATTCCAATAACCAAAAATACTATTCTTAAAAGTGTTCTCAATACAGAGTAGAGCAAATATTATTTATTTAAAACTTATAACATAAACATGTTATAACATCCTTTAAAAACAGATACCCTAACCCTGCTTTACTATTCTTAGATGATAAAGTTTTCTTTGATTTCCCACAGGATCCAAAATTGAAACATTGACGTTATGTCAAAAGTTTTTTTTTCCGGTCGTAAAAGCCATTTGCTTTGTTCTGATTAGCAATTATTATAAAGGGCTTGATTTTTATGAAAATTTGACCTATTCACATTTAGTTTATTTTGAAGTGTCGAATCTTGCCTTAAACAAAAAAATCTCTGAAGACTATCTTTGCATGATACGCAACAACATTTTTTATATTTTTTAATATTATTGATTTAAAAATGATAACATAAACATATAACATAAACATGTTATAAGATCACTACAAAAATAGTCATTTTGTTTTAACACTTCTGGAGTCTTATCAAGTCAGGGTGTTGAATGCAGATTAAAAAGTTTAAAATTTATAAATTATTGAAAGTAGATTAAAGATAACAAATTTATAAAGTGTTGAATTTAGAGTAAAAAGTTTAAATTTATAAATTTATATACATACATACATGCATGTATATATATATATATATATATATATATATATAATTAAGTTATGAAGAACTTGGTAATCCGTATGGGTAATCTCAAGGAGGATGAAATCCTGAGAGCTTAATGTAAATCCAGAGCTAATATTTAAAAGAAAAACAGACCACTTTAAGATACCATTATAATAATTTATTTCACCAGAGTCCTTTTAAAAGGACGCCGGATCATCAGATAGTACTTCCAAAATGAAATGAAACGAAAAAATGGTGAAATAAATTATAATGGTAGCTTAAAGTCTGTTTTTTTTTATATATATATATATATATATATATATATATATATATATATATATATTGTAATTATTAATAAAGTTAAAATTACCTGGATATATATATATATATATATATATATATATATATATATTGTATTTAATCAGTAGATCGATATTAATGGAACTTTTGCTTATAATCACATGATTATGGATGCGTATAACTTTTTCGAAGTAAAATATTAATCTTGAGAAGGGTTCTAATTATTTATAGCTTATTAGATATTAGACATATTTGTCAAGAATGTCTTTTATACAGGGCGCGACACAAATACCCCTAACACATACCTCCAAGAAATACCTCCCACATAATGGTAAGACATTAGTGGCAATGGTGTCTTCCTCAAGGTAATGTCTTACCATTATGTGGGAGGCATTTGTGGGAGATATTTTTGTCACACAAAAAGCACACATGATATCTGTAATTTATTCAATCAGACATGTCTAAAAGGGAATTTGCTGCCTAAACACACAAATTTTAAACTATATATATATATATATATATATATATATATATATATATATATATATATATATATATATATATATATATTCATCTTCTGCCGGGTTCTAAATATTTATAGTCTATTAGATATTAGATCTATTTGTCAAGAATGTTTTTTTATACAGAGTGCGACAGAAATACATCTCTCTCTCTCTCTCTCTCTCTCTCTCTCTATATATATATATATATATATATATATATATATATATATATATATATATATATATATATATATTTTTTTTTTATTCAAAATTATAGCATATGCATGCTAAACATCACTACAAAAATTGCAATTTTGTTTCAACACTACTTTTGTCTTATCAAATGATGGTGGTGATTGCAATATAAAGGATTTTAAGAGTTCAAAAACCAACCAAACCCCTCAGTAGAGGAACATTGTTACGTCACCTGTGACGACCAATCAGAATACAAGTATATGGTAATTTATAATATTGTTATATATATATATATATATATATATATATATATATATATATATATATATATGATAATGCACATATATATATATATATATGATAATGCACATTATATATATATATATATATATATATATATATATATATATATATATGATAATGCACATTGAGCGCTGGTATTAACAAAATAGTGTTTGAGGTAATGTAACAGAACTATTTTGTATATATTAATAAATATATATTTTTCCTTACTAGGGGCAGAAATAAAGTGTGTGTGTGTGGAGGGGCAATGAGCATACATCTCTTAGCTAAGTTAACCCTGACGGGCCCTCACGTTAGTATGATCAGGAAGCCTGCCATTTCAACATGACCTTCATGACACGATTTGTTAGAAAGGTTGTAATTAAGCCAAAGTTTCGTCTAGTGACACCGTAGCCCTTGAGAAGTTCAGCATGCCAAAACCTTTTTAATGACCCAGAGATATCTAGAGTCACAACCTGAGTTTCGCAATTCTTATCTTAGACTTGATAGAAAAATTCAGTGATGGCCATTAACACGTTGGTTGTAGACCTGGTTGAAACGGAAGCCATATTCTTTGTCCGAAGGGAAGTCGCTTAACCAATTCATCATTGATTAGAGCCTCGAGTACTTTGGCGAAAAGAGGTAAGCGATTAATAGGACAATAATTTGAGGCGTCAAAATGGCAAGCTAAATGATAGCAAGATAATAAAATGAAGTAAAAATTTAGGGGCACTCGGTTAACAGTTTCTTACAGGAGTAATCGGTTTATAATGGTATTATCTCATTTGATGAAATAGGATGGATCTATATATTTATATTGTTTTGTTTATAGTAGCGATATTATTATCGTCGCTTGAGGTCTTTTCTTAAACAAGATGTAATGGAGTGATATCATTATGTTGTGTGCCACGTGACACGTGATTCGGTCGTTATGACTACGAACATATCCCAGGTGGGAAATGAGAAACGTCTTGTCACTACTGCATCCAACGGTTGAAAATTTAGAGAAGAGAGAGCAATATTTATTTGTATTATTATACAAAATGTGACACAAGGCCAAAATGGGGAAAAAGGACGGTCTTCATCTGTCTTAAATTTAAACTTAGCTAGCCACAAACACTAAACCAAACATACAAAAATATTCTTACTTACCTTTCTTAATACATGTCCCGTAATACCTCATTGTCTCTATGAAAGTCCTAATTAGTCCCCATATGTATAACTCATTGTTTGTTGGGGCGGAATAAAATAACGGTTTAAAAATATAAACCCCAATGAATATTTACAAAAATGAAGAAAACTATATACGAGAACCTAAACAAAATAGTGTTAGTAATAAAACCCCTACAATCCTTAAATGTGGAAGAAACATCAGGTAACTGAACGAAATGAATGCGGGACTTAATAATATAAAACATTTATTCATTCTATGCACTCACTTAAATACACACCCATTCAAATACAACAACAAATACGAAATGGCGCCCCACATTCACTAGAAAACCGAACACCTAACGAGGGAGGAGATGGGAAATGAAACTAAAGAAAAATAGAGGCAGAAATAAAGTGTGTGTGTGTGGGCAATGAGCATACATCTCTTAGCTAAGTTAACTGGGATGAAGAGACTAAAGATACAAAAACAACACTAAACTAGCCTAATTTAGAGAAGAGTGAGAGAAGGTGTTGTGCCCTTTCCATTTATACTGCTTTATACAACACCGCGTTCTAGCGGACGTTAAGAGAACTCTCCTGACTGACAAGGTGAGATAATCCATTATACTCGCCCTCGCTTCTTTAAGAAGGAAAAAAAGAAAAGAAGGAAAAAAAATGTGACGTGGAAGCAAAATAAAAGAAACAAGAAAGAAATAGTTAAAAGAGGAAAGATAAAAAAAAAAGGAAGCAGGAAGAAAAACAAATAGAAATAAAGATAGACTATGAAAGAAATATGAGAAAACCAACAGAAAATATACAAAAGCCATTTTGTAATGTTCCAAGGTTTTGATACACTTTGCAATATGAATATCAGCACTCTAATATCAAAATTTCATAACACAGAAAAAAAAACACCAAGCCATAAAGACTATGACAAATGTTAAACTGTAAGAATTTAATATCCGAAACATTTAACCAAAATAAGAAAAAAAAAAAATAATCGAGCAAAACCGAACGTTATAAATAAATCACTATTTCGGTGCCTGATTTTTCTTGTGAATCTTATCAGTAATGTTTTCTTATCTAAGATTTAATAAGGCCAACGCTGATAGGATGAATAATCGGTCTAATAACAACGGACAATGAACTTATATTTTTCATACATACGTGTAAGTAAAAATCTACAAGAATTCACAGTCTCCGATAAGAAGATAAGGACCTATGTCGACCCGAGCTCCAATACTTAAATACTAAAAAGATATAATTTCACTTTCCTAGCATTGTATATATGTAAGAATATATCGTAGAAATGCATATATGTATGTATGTATCATATTTAACCCCCCGCCAAAAAAAACAAAAAAAAAAACAAAAAAGACCATTGAATTCGAGTTTAAATCTTCCATTACTAAACAAGAAGAGAAGACAATGCGAGATAGTGGATGTTACTATCTGAAGTAGTATGAAAAATAAGACAATAAAGCCACTAAGACTCAAACGGTTACTGAGTGTTAGAGAATAACCAGAAAGAAAATGATGATTTTATGGAAAGAAATACGACCGTGTTCACCCATCTAAATACTGACCAGACTCCATGTTTTTTTTTACTTCGGTGATCGTACGGTGAATACCAAGTGCTGTAAAATTGGATGTGCGGTTGGTGTTAATGGCAAGTTTCAATTTCGGTTGAGTTCATTAGACTTACTTTCGCGCAAATAGACTTAGCATATAATTCCATTGCTTACATATTAGCCAAAAACATTATCCCATTATAGCGGCCTGTTCTTCTAAGTTGTGTTGGTTGGCTAGTTTCATGAAGGATTCAACATCGGGCCCAGCTCATCAAATTTAGATCAACATTTTAATATTTAATACCAAGAAATCACTGTTGAACACTTTTTAAAAAGCAGTTCTAACCCTGAATAATTTATCTAGTTTCGAAGTTTTGTAATTTAGGTTAAAGCTTGTAATATTTGGGATATTTTTGGTGCGAATATTTCGTAATATATGTGTGCTGTTTATGTTGGTGATAAATGTTTATGAATGTGCGCGTGGACTGCACAGTAATCCGCCAGATGGCATGTTAATTTCCGGAATAGAGTGCGTACGAATAGAGTTCACACCTACTAAACAAACATGTATGACCTGTCAATGAGCCCAATTAACATGGGACAATGGTAAACAGACGTATGCCATATCATATTAACACAGATGCCCAATGTTAGAAGATCTAACCATAATACTAAAAACATCCAACATTTTTTCAATACACAAAAATTTTAATTACACAAACACAAAGACACACACATAAACACACACGCTATATATATATGTATATATATATAAACAAAAGAAAACGTAGTAAATATCAACCAACAAAAAAGTTAACAAACAACTACATAAATAGCCCCATAACTGCATTCAGATCCACAATTATTCCCACACAGTCGTCTCTAGAACAATTCGAAACACAATCGTTTCCACCAAAATAACCGTTAGAATAATACAATATACTACCCATAATGCAATACAATAGACTACCCATAATACATCACTGACCCGTATATACAAAAAGTCGAGCACATGGCGTGACGATTGCGTTTCGACTGAAACAGACCGTCGCCTCCGGGTATTGGCGTCAATGTCCACTTATATATATATATATATATATATATATATATATATAGCATGGAACGGCCTGTCGCCTCTAAGTGTTGACTTCAATGTTCACTTTTATATTTACACACGATCTAACTCTGTTATTGAGCACTTTATCCCATAAAAGAGTATATTTCTTGATATATATATTAAATTGAATTAAAATACTAAGCTCTGTTCCATCCTCATGGAACAGAGCTTAGTATTTTAATTCAATTTAATTCAAATAATTATATTGAAGTTTTCGGCTCTTGTTTTGAAACATGAGAACTCTTATGTAGCGTGTTGGAATCATATTTTTAAATAAATAATTATATTTATGCTCTACTTTTGTATCTAGCATTATTTTTTAAAAACAATAATCTTTCCTATTTTCTATATATTTTTCACACACACACACACACACACACACACACACACACATACATATATATATATATATATATATATATATATATACCAAATGTACTACCTCTATCCAGGTCTCCCTATACCTACATATATTTTGCACACACATATATAACCAACTAGAAAACTTATAACTAACTAATGTATATGATTGTGTTTTTATGTTTATCCCGATTTACAGCCTTTTATAAGCATATAATCTACATGGATGACAGAAAACATATTTCATACACTAAAGTTAATTCTGACATTTAATCATTATTAAAAGCAAATTCACGTTCGCATGATGCTAATTTTGTGAAATCTATATAAGCAAGTTTGATGTTGTAAAAAGCATACAATCTTTTGCCTTTTGTCGCTAAAAAAGGCAAAAAATCAGAATCACACGCAATACTTTAGGTCGACTACAACTGGCAGCAAAAAAAAAAAAAATTAAACTTTTAAAGATGTCGGCATGTAGCCTAGTGGATAGAACATTACTGTTTTAGATATGATGCCGGAGTTCAGGTATATCTATGGGAAATTTGTCAAAGAGCTGACTTCTTGATAACATCAGTCAAGGGAGGTAATTCGAGCGTGCGGCACTTTTGGAAAAATTATATCGGGGTCATTTTATTATATTTCTTGCAGAAAGAATCTAACAAAAATGTGTATTTTCAGAAAAAAAAGGTAGGTTTGAATCAGGTGACTAGATGTATTGAAAACGAAAAAAAAAAAAAAAAGAAAAAAAAGAGAACATTTTTCTCGGCAAGGAAACCATTCAACAATTTAAATGCATGAGAATTAGCCTTTTGAACTTGCAAATACGGCACAGCAAAAGTTGATGGAGAAGTAGATTTTAACCATCAGACGGTCACTTGTTTCCTCGATATATCATTTCTTTAGTTTCGTTTGTTTTGTTTTATGGCATATCAACCTCAATGGGTTATTTAATGCCGACAGCATTTTTAGGATAGATTCGTATGAAAAGAATATCTATTCTTTGGTTTAGATTGGTTTGGTTTATTTTGTTTTACAGTATATCAACCTCAATGGGTTATTTAATGCCGACAACATTTTTAGGATAGATTCGTATGAATAGAGTATGTATTCTTTGGTTTAGATTGATTTTGTTTATTTTGTTTAACGGCATATCAACCTCAATGTGTTATTTAATGTCGACAAAATTTTTAGGATAGATTCGTATGAATACAATATGTATTTTTTGGTTTAGATTGGTTTGCTTTGTCTTGTTTTACGGTATATCAACCTCAATAGGTTATTTAACGCCGACAACATTTTTAGGATAAATTCGTATGAATACAATATGTATTTTTTGGTTTAGATTGGTTTGGTTTATTTTGTTTTACGGCATATCAACCTCAATGTCTTATTTAATGTCGACAAAATTTTTATTCCTGGTAATATTTTGTTTTGTCAAAAATATATATTTCTGGTAATAATTATTTTCTTCAAAACTGTATTGCTGGTAATATCTTTTTTTCAAAAACGTATTGTTGGTAATATTTTTTTCTACAAAAATTTTATTTCGGATAATAAAAATGGGTTATTTAATTCTGACAAAATTTCTATTGTTGGCAATATTTTTTTTCAAAAATCTATTTCTGGTAATATTTTTTCTACAAAAAAATTATTTCTGGTAATATATTTTTTCTTTTTTTCAAGAAATGTATAGCTGGTAATATTTGTTTTCCAAAAATGTATAGATGGTAATAATTTTTTTACAAAGTATATCTGGTATTAAAACCTATTTTTACACTTTCATAGTGTTTTGACCCCAGTTTCAGGGTTAACTATTTGTCCGTAGCTGGGACCCTAACAGGTGCTACCACCCCGGTTCAGAGTGGAGCTGGGGACACCAGCAATTAAGAGGTGATTCCACGCTTCTCAAAACCTCCTGATCAGAGGCCTTGCTGCTGGACGCAGTTTATCGTCATACCCAGGACGTCATTTGTTTGGCTATTATTCCAACAATTTGAAGATATAGATAAGGTCCTCAAAGAATTTAACGAATCAAAAAACGTAGTCGTTCTCCTATGATAGAATACATGATTTAGTTGAAAAGAGTCTGAAAGCAATGGAAAGTCAGAGAAAATGTCGATAATGATTTACTTGAATGAATTTTATCAAAATTTGTTGGAATATATTTCTTCAACGTAATGATTCACAAGAATGATTGGCATTGGGAAACAATTTCCAAGGTAAACAGTTTATGTTTATAATATAAGCACTGTATACACATTGTTTTTGTTTTTTCGTTTTAACATTGGATGTATTCATTTACTGCTTTTAAAGGCTTGCTTGTAACTCAGGGCTAATCAGAAAATAACGACGTCAATATTGACGTCACGCATACCGGAAATATCAGACATATTGTCGTCTGCATTGCAACAAAAAAAACGAAGGCTAACACACACACACACACACGCACACATATGAACACAAAAATATGTTCTCACACACATACACACTCGGTCTCACGCTGAGTGTGAGAAAAAAAAAGCACATACAAAAACATATTTGAATTTATTTCATTTTTTTAACATTTCCAAAAACGTTTTACTTTCCCGCATTTCGTATAATTTAAGATTTTTTGTCCTTTAAATAATAAAAAAAAAAGGTAAATATTCTCACAATATAGTGAAAGTTTTTGTAGTAAACGAACAACAATGTTTAGACAGTAATTCTGCAAGGAAGTAGGAAAAAGTGTGAAATAGATAAATCTAGAAAGATAAATATATAAAAATTGAGAAAGAAAGAA